CAGGAAGATACATACCACCCACAGGGGTGAGAGGGGATTTTTTATATATATATAATCTTTACAGACTGTATTTTTGAAAAATGCTTTACCTATTAAAGGCTATTTGTGGGGGGGGGAGTGTTCGGGGGTTCCTGGAAAAAAAAATAGGAAGAGACAAATTGCTTGAAAAAATTAGCAATAAGTAATAGTGTATGAACTGGGAGAATCTCATCCTACTTCTTCACTAAAATCTCCTGCATTTTGAGAGGCTCAATTTCTTTGTTTAATTGAAGGAATTCAGCCAATACTTACTCTGTCATGGCCACCTCCAACTCAACAGATACGTTTGTATGAAATCAAACATTACTTTAGGCTCCTCTTCAGCTGAGTTGATTAAACCATTCATTTCTGAGACAAAAGAGTCAATTTCGTATGAAAGATATTTTCCTCTCAGTTTAATTTAAAGTGCAGACCCAATGCCTGACCCCTATTTTCATAACATGATAATTTTATCCTACGTTGATTGTCTCATTTTTGAGAAAAGATATTGCACTTATAAATCAAGTTTCTAAAATATCCAAAGAAATGAAGAGAATGGGATTTATTAAGCATCTTCCACACATATGAAATAATTTATTTTGGAATAGTCCTTGGGAAATGTTCTGTACTTTATGGTTCTGTTTTACAAATGCAGCATCATGATAATAAATCAGGATTGAGCTGCAAGAAGATAAGAAGAGGTCTTAGTGTGCTGTAAGCATAGAATAGGGATATTAAGATTTGTTTCCCCCTTGTAATGAAAATGAAAATCGAAAAGAAATCTGGGGAAGTCCAAGTTTCCAAGCTGATTGTCAGTGGAGAGTGTTTTATTTTAAATGGTGCATTTGGAATGTTGATATATCCCTAAGGTTTTCAACTGTAAAGAGGGTGTTAGGGAAGAAAATTGTCTTTCTATTTTAAGGCCAAAATAATTTTTCTCTCTTTCTGTCAAATATCTTTTTCCAAACCATTAACATTTCCATCTCTGATTAAATGTCGTGTCACAGTAAATCAGCCATTCACTTCCAGTATTTGCACCATATGTAGGCTAGGTAACATCTCTCCCAGTAATGTACCTGGAAATTCTCCAAGTGGCATTAATGGAATATATATTTTATCTATTTATTATTACATTTATACCCTGGCTTTCTATTTGTTTTACTGAAAACATCTTACAACAATTAAAAATGAAGTATAAAAAAATACACAATTAACACAATTAAAATCAAAATTAAACTCAGTCATTAAAATGATTAATAATTAAAAGGTTGGTAAAAGATTTAGCATCTTCTTAAATACAGGGAGAATGCCAAACACATTTTTGCACATTCTATGGGCTGGGAACCATTTGGGAAAAGACATATTCCTGCCTACCTGATACTTGAGCATCTGGTACTAGAAACATATTCAGAAGGATCACCATCACTGATCTAAATAACCAAGCAGGTTTATAATGGAAGAGGCATTCCTGCAGATAATCAGACTCTAAACTATTTAGGACTTTAAAGGTTAACACCAGTACCTTAAGCAATTGTGTGATACACAATTGGTAAATTGGCATAACTTTTAAGTAGGGGCATAACAGTATGATCCCTGTACCATGAACTGGTCAACAACTGTCAGCCTTTCAAAGAAGGCAGGATCAGGA